TTCCAGAAACTTTAATAAAATTTAGGTTCTACTTCCTCCTCTATCTGGATGACAACAGATTTGATATTCCACCTGCCAGGACAGCCTCACATATGCAGAGAAGTCCAAATTTCAGTAGCCAAGATAGCCCTGTCATTGAACATTTAGGGATCCAGAGAGCTTTTCAGCCAGTATGACCTGGTTCACCCTCAGACTCGAGCATCTGTGTGACACCTCTGTCCCCTTTCAGACACCTGAACCTGACTTTACGAATGCCCTCCAGAAAAGCACCGAGAGAGGGAGCTGGCATTCCCACATGCCACAAGTCTTCCTGGAGACTGATAAAAGCCCAAGAATCCTAGCAGTCTGCCTTCTATGTTAGCCACGAGACTTTTGTTGGCCCAGGGCAAACTAAGAGGGCTGGGACTCAGCACAGCTCGATACGAGACCTATGTCTGTTAGGAGGAGGAAGATCTGACAGATGTACAACCAGAGTGAGCAGGAAAACAAATGTACAACAGCGGCCAAAACCTCCCTTGCAAACCCCATCAGCCTCCCGGAGATGCTGAGCTCTGACAAGCAGCAGCAGCCCAGAGGCGCAGGCGTATTTCTGTAACACAAGAGCAAGGGATGAGAACTGCTAATTTAGGAGAAACAGATTGTTTGCAAAAAGCAAACCGTCACCCAGGCACTGCACAAAGGCAGCTGAGCCTTTAAGCTATCACAGAGGACTGCTGCAAATGGATCTACAATACCAGCCAGCGTTAAAGGGCATTTGTAGGCTGTACATGCAGCTGCTTATTCCCGCATTGTGATGCCAGAAAAAGCAAAAGGGGACAAAGACACCCTCAGAAACAGTGTCACCAGGCAGGGAGGAAAGCAGAGAGCTGCAGGAGAACTGGCTGCCATGCTGCCCTTTGAGCCATGATGCCAGCAGACCAATGTTAGTAAAAAAGCGGTCTGGTATGGTCAGTACAGAACGAAAGATCAGGGACATCCCAATGTTACTGCTCCTGTAGAGAAAAAAAGGCAGGCAGAATAACAAATGAGGTGATACATAGCTGTCTGAACACCTTCCCTTTATAGCAGTCAATGAAATATTATGCACATACAAACTAGCAAGACCCTTTCATCTACTCTGCACAGTTTAATTTAGCTCATATACAATCCAGCATTAGAGAAAGGTTTGAACAGTAGCAACACGAAGTTACAAAAATACTATAATACAGTCAGCTAAAACAATGCTAGAACCGTATTTTTTAAGAAAAACCTTGACTATGGTTAGTTATGCCAAGCATACTATTTGTTCTCTTAAAAATAAGAGTGAAGTCCAAGCGCAGTAAGGCTATTGGAATTTGTCATGTAAGAGCCAGTGCAGCCTTTGACTTCTCAGCCACAAGAAAATCCATCCTGAAATCAATTAGTAAAGCAATTTCTAGAGTTGATGCCATCCATAAAAAAGGGTATGAACAGCTTTATTAATTCTCTAGCTAATCAAAAGATTTGAGTAACTATAGCCAGTACTAATAATTCTTGAAAACAGCCAGGACAAGCCAAGTGTCCTCTGGAAGGGAGCAGTAGATAATAAAAGCACTAACTGAAGTTATCAATGGTAGCCCCAACAGCCTACTGTCTACGGAGTTCTATAGAAAATTTCTATTAAGAGAAATAAAATGTACAGTTTTCAGTGGGACTAACAATTTTAGACAGTTCCCAGAGATCTAACATAAAACAAATGTACCCATAAGAAAAGAAAAGCCTAAAAACTAAAGCCACTTCTACAGCTAGAGTGGTCACTCCACCCAGTTCATCTGCACTGTAAATGAAATAAATACAAATAAGTACAAACCAATGCCTGACCTAGCAGTTACATATATAAAAAAAAAGTCCTCCTGAAAATTTGCCTTCAAAAACTGAACAGCAGCAGCAAATAGGAGCAGACTAAGCAACATGAAGGAATTGCAAGAGACTTTCCCAGTGAAGAGAGACAACCACCTTCTTGGTTGTAACGGGAGTCCAATATAAAAACACTACATATACCATGTGGCTCTAAGATAAATGCTTACTTTATTGATCAGAATGTCATTTTTCTTACTGTTGTGTTTGCTCCCTACTCCCTAAAAAAAAACAAAACCAAAAACAAAAACAGACCAACTTTGCTCTTTGAGTGGATGATCCCAGTTCTTCTCCCATAGAGACAGGTGCTTCTGTCGATTCAGAAAAAGCTGAGGCAAGTGCTTCAGATGTTCTGGATTGGGTAGTGATGACTCCAGAATGAGTTACCTGTTAATCAGTCCTCAGGAACAACTAGCAAAGCTGCGCTGCGCAGATGTGGAGGGGAGGTATTTGCCTTCTCAGTGGACATTAGTAGTAGCAGAGATCAGAGCCCCGCTGACAAACACACTGGAGCATCCTAGCTGCTGGACCATGACGTTTACCACCTGGTTCCCTCATCTGATGACCTTTTTTGAGACCAAACAACACACTTACGTACTACCGGGGTCCAGAGCAGACAGAAACAGCTGTACAGTGGGAGCCCGCTATAGGAGATGGTGACACCTTGCAGCCCAGGGATGATACCCAAAGCTGTAGGGCTAGAACAAGATGCTGCTAAGCTTTCCAGCAGAGATGGGGTGAAGCGGCTGCAGCGCTGTATGGAAAGCAAGAGCCAGGCAAAGCTCGATGGGTTAAAGTCCCACTGCTGCCACTGAGCGGGTTTACTTGTTGGCCTCCACTCTCAAGCTGCCAAAGCTGCTCTGCAGCAGTGCCTGGGCTCTTCCCTCCCAGCTCCAATCATTACTGCTGTGAGCTTAAAATGAATATTATAATTTTTTCAGCCCCTCTGCAATGTCAATACCTTTTCTTTCCATACCTGCAACTACAGATCAGTGTGAACAGGAGTGTGAAATTGTTAGACACGGGGACAGCAGGCATGTCCCCCCCAACCCCGATACATCTGGCGTGTGGAGCCCGCCAGCATCCTGGCAGCCATCAGCAAATACCAGGAAGGGCTTTATACTCCAGAGGGGTGCTCCAGCAACAAGGGGCCTCGACACAAGCTGAAAAACCCCAAATTTCACAGCATGTCCAAATAAGCTAAGCCCCTAAACTTTCCAGCTGCTGGGAAGTTGCTCTGTGCTTTGTCCATGACAGATATGTCTGGTCTGCAACGACAGACAAATTTCCCAGCAACGCAGGCTTACTCAGTTTTTTGTAGATCACGTTTGCCAGGGTTACAGAAATATCAGCAATCTGAGGGTGCGACCTGTTTGCCAAACACCTTCTCCTTCCTCCCCCTTCAACAGAGGGTGTGTTTTAATCTGGAAGACGGAAGGAGTTCAAACAGGAAACAAACCCTCGATTGCAGCTGATTTTACAGTTCTCAGGGGTCTTTTACAAACTCCTGCAGATGTTGCCACAGCTGGAATTCATACATCCCAGTGGCAGGATAAGAAGACCAGGGATAGCTCTGTGGGAAACAAAGGTTTCTTCCGCCCCATTTTCCTTGGGAATGAGTTTGGACACCTCCCACTACAGCTCAGCAGCTTCTGAGTGCACTCAATTACCTCAGTGCATTTAGTAGTTTAAGCTGTCGAGAAGCTGCATCCTCACATCCTTCTCCAGGGACAGCCGTTTGCACAGAGATTTGAGGCAGAGCCAAATTCGTGCTCCCAAAGTGTGCGGCTTCGCTCAGGACAGAAGGGATGAAGCACCAAATGCATGCAGAAGCTCTTCCAAAATGACATCCCACCACCCCACCCCACCTCACTGCACAGGGGTGCAGGCTGCTTAGCACATCTCAGCAGCTGCAGATCGAATTGTGCTGTGTGCTGAACTGTAAAAGGCGAAGACAGAAAGACAGAGACATCCTTGACCTGTGCAACATGGGACGATCTGGAGTTTTATTCTCTTCGCTCCAGGGCACCCCAGCCTGCACCTGACCCCACTTCTCTGCACTTCCCTCCTTTCAACTCAGTGCTGACAGCTCTGCTGCTCTGTTGCCCACAAATCTCTGCTCTGCAAAACCACTCATCCAGAAACCAGACATCAACTTCTTGGCTGCGGAGAAAACCAGAAAGGCAAAGATGATGACAAAATATCAACCAGAGATGGTTTCTTACTGCAGCTGAGTGAGTATTTCACTCATGTAAAACTAAATCCTGTGTAGGGCATATTCCGATCCCAAAAACTGAGTTATCCAGCAGACATGACTTTCTTTTGTCTACTACTAAATGTGCCTTGTTGCTGCGTATGGATTTATGCCTGCTTCCATGTGTGCATGAAAATGCTGCTCTGTAGCACTGCTTACAAAACCCCATAAGCATCTACAGCCATTGTAACTCTACCTCTGCCCATCGCACCGATCATTAATTTTCAGTCATTCCTACTGTCTGCTGGTTCATTTCTGGAGGCTGCCAGTTTTCTTTCTCTTGTTGATCAGGGTTGCAACCCATGCTATGTACAGCACCTTCCACTTCTATTAAGCTCTACTTGGCAAGAAAATAGCAATCACTGGGATTTATATGCTGAAAGAGTTTCTCATTGGAATTACTATAGTATTCTGCTCTTTGCTAAGGCCTAACACATTCATCTTCTACAATGTATAGGTTTGTGAGAATGGATCGTTTCCCTGAAAGCAGGTATGCCTCAGGTGAGACTCACACCCACACTGTCAGGGCGAAGGAAGAGGAAAGGGTGCGTAACTGCCAAGCTGAGATTAGATGCAGGGAATTTAAGTGAACCAACTCTGAAATTGCAAAAGTGGATGAAGCAGAAGAAAAACACCTTGCCTTTTGTCATAAAAATGAGGCAAGTCTGGCCAGATTTGTCATTCTCACGGTGACACGGCTGTCTTGAGGTGGGTCTGGAAAATGAGCCCCTTTGGATCTGGGCTTTTCCATGGATCCAGGAGAACAGGAGAGGGGTTTGAAACTGGAATTCAGAATTGTTTGAGTGGCAATTTCCTCTCCAGTCCTGAAATACAGCTATACAGTTAACCTTGGTCTGCCAAAACCCTCTAGTAATTCAGAATGTTTCAATACGGCTGATCCAGTATGCAAAGCTACAGATGACCAGAAAAACAAGCAGCGTTGAGGCTCAGACTCCTGGTATGAAGTGGAGAGCTTTGTTCCAGAGTCCCACAGCAAAGAAACAAAGTGGACCATGCCAAGAGCCAGGCAGAACCGATGTTCCCTCCTCCAGGTCAGACGCACACAACTGGGAGAGAGGAGAAGATCTGAAGGTGTCTGAAGCTGAAGTCGATCATACAAGAGGTCAGTGTCTTCCAGCCAAAGCGCACAGTATCTCGGGACCCAGCTGGCCACAGTAATTGGAGCTAGGATCATGATGGTGAAAAGAACGATTTCCAGTGGAGGTCCTATGGGTGCTTGCGACTCTATCTCATTTCCACAGGAATTCAGGCCAGCCAAGTGAAACGGCCATTGTTGATAAGAAAAGTGATAGTGCCGCCTGGAAAAAGAGCAGGGAACACAAACCCAGACAAGGGGAACCAGCTAGATGAAGGCACTTGGCTTTTCTTTGACCTATATTTACTCGGGTTTCATGAGAGATACTACTACTTGGTCTTTCTTGGAGTCTCAGAGACGTCTCCTATGCTGGACACCAAGGTCACCTCTGCACTAATGAATGGAGTGGTGCAGGTGGCAGCTCATCATCTCCTAGATGCTGAACTATTAGCACAGTCCTTGGCACCTGTTGGCCTTGGCCAGCTAGCTCACTTCCAAGCAATTCTTCATTCCAGCTAGTAGCAATGTTTTAAACAACCATCTTGAAAAATCTGCAGCTAAAAGAGATGAGTTGTTTGCTGTCCAGCACTCTGGTATTCAGAGCATCAGCCTACAGGAAGAGAGTCAGAACCTTTGCCTAATATTGGCACCTAATTGCCATGACACTGTAGAGCTCTTTTACACCCTACTCTAGCCATAAAATATCTACAACCCACTCTTCACAGGTTCCTGCTCCACTGCTATCCCAGGAGAGAGAGATTATGGCTCCTGATCTATAAGTGCTTTTCCAGACGCCAGTTAAGATCTCCTGCAGCTGCACGGACTGAGAGGTTGAGTCCCAGGAGCAGGTCAGGCTGGACAGAAAGGACAATGGATCTCCAGAGCAGGTGGGCAGGAGATGGAAGTGATGTGCATGCATTAGGAGAAAGGTTTATTTTGGGAGCGTATGTCAGCAGCATTATCCAGAACCTAACACGAGCTCAGAGCTTTGGCTGGGCCAGGGGCAGGAAACTGGTGTTTATGAGCCCTCTGAAAATGGACATCTGAACATTTGCTCCGATTTCCATAACTGCACAGGTGGCTGTGCTGGACACATACCAGCAGAGGGAGCCGGACACCAGAGCTGGACAGCTCTCTTCTCCAGCCATCCCCAGAGCCACCAGCTAGAAGAAATTCTACCCAGTCGTCACACACAGAAGTGTCAAATAGAAGCTTTCTCTGGAGTATTTTATGGGCCAAAATGAAGGGATAGAAGCTGCCCACACCAGCTTGGGTTTTGGGCCACTCTGTATAAACCCAAAACTACTTCCCTCACCTAACAAGTGCAAGGCTGTGACACAGTACTTGGTGCTCTGAGCTGAAACAGATTTTTTTCCACTCTGCTTTTGCTCATAAAAAATAAGATTATGAAAAGCAACGTGGCCACAGATGCCAACAGGCACAGACTTGCAGACATAAATGTTGCTCCTCCAGGTACACTGCCTGCAGGACTGCTCAGCCCTTGCCTGGCCAGAGGAGCTGTCTCCTCAGCCAGCACACAGGCTATTCCTCTACACACCACTACACACCTCTACGCATCACTATTCCTCTACACACACCATGTGGTTATCCCCCCCTTCTGCCAAACTTTCATCTCCTTTGCCGCCCCTCCAGAGAAACCACAGATTGGGAAAAAATCTGAAAATGAGGTGGTGGGTTCAGACATAGTCAGCCTTACAGCAGGAGGCTAGACCAGATGAGCTGCAAAGGTCCCTTCCAACCTGAGTTATCTTATGGTCCTAAGTAACGGAGCAGTTTTCGAGCAGCATTCGGTTTTGACACTGTCTCCTGTGACTTCCTCATAGACACGTTAATGAAGTATGGGCTAGATCAGTGGACAGTAGGTGGACTGAAAACTGGTTGAATGGAAGAACCCAGAGGGTTGTAATCAGTTGCACAAAGTCCAGACAGAGGCCAGTCAGTAGTGGTATAACCCAGGGGTAATATATATTGGGGCCAAAAAAGTTTAACATCTTAATTAATGACCTGAGTGACGAGGTAGACCACACCCTCAGCAAATCTGGGGAAGATACAAAACTGGAAGGAGAGGTTCACATGCCAGAGTCATGCTGCCATCCATAGGGTCCTCAGGCCGGAAAAATGGGCTGTCAAGAACCTCATGAAGTTCAACAAGGAGAAGTACGAAGTCTTAAATCGGGGAAGGAACAATTCCATGCATCAGTAAATGATGGGGGCCACCCAGCCAGAAAGCAGCTTGTCAGAAAAGTCCCTGAGGGTCCTGGTGGACACCAAGCAATGTGCCCTCGCAGCAAAAAAGGACAACAACCTCCTGGGCTGCATTAGGAGGAACATTGCCAGCAGGTCGAGGGAGGTCATGCTTTGTTTCTTTCCCCTTTACTATGCACTGGTGAGCTACATTTGGAACACGAGGAGCTGAAAACTAGACATAGTACAGGAGAAATGGGGACATACCGAGTGAGACCGGTAAAAGGACACAAAGATGATTAAAGCATTAGAGTCCCTGTCATACAAGGAGGGGTTGAGTGAGCTGGAACTGTTCAGCCTACAGAAGATAAGGCTCAGAGGTGTCTTATCCATGTGTACAAATATTTGATCAGGAGAGTGAAGAAGGCAGGGCCAGACAGTTCGCAGTGGTGCTCAGTGACAGGATCTCGGCTCCTGGGTGTGATTTCCCCACCAACGAGGGATGACAAGGAGTCCAAGAACATTGGCTACATTTCACACATCCACAGCCCAACCTAGCAAAGGCAGAACAGGCCTTGAGTTTTAGCAATCTGCAGAGCTCCATACATGGATTTATGTAATTTTAAATCACCTGTTGGAGTCCAAGAGCTGATGCAGCTACCTGTACAGACCTAATCTCTGCAGAGTAACCCAAGCAGAGGAGCACAGCCAAAACCAGCAGTTTAATGGCAATCTGCTACCGAGTGGTTTTCAATGTACCTCTTGAAGGCCACTGAGCCTTGAGAGAGGCATGCAGATAGAGTGTGTGAAGCTGGATTAGGGCCATAAAAGTCTTTCCTGGCAGAGATGACAAGTTCAAGCACTGTACCCAGCTAACGCAGCTAGACAGCTCCTGCTTGGCAAGCTAACACAGTCAGAGATCATTCAGGCGTTTCTCTTGCACAGCTCAGGTACTAAACCTGGTTGAGATCCAACCACCTACCCCTCTTCTGACCATGTCAGCCACTGGGTTTGGTCCAAGGGCTGGCAGAAAGCTGATGATTTAAGCCATGGATCCAGCTCTCCTAAATGATGCAGAACCCAGGTGCCAGACACCAACCCCAGCTGCCTTGTCCTCAGCACCAAGTGGTCTTCACACATGCCTAAAATGAACAGACAATTCGCTAGTCACCTGTGTTACCTGCATGCTCAGTTTGCACATCATTACACAGTTACCCAGAGCTGGTGGCCCACTCCCAGGCAGATGTCACCTGACAGTTACATAAACAGGCACATGGCATGTCTTCATCCGTTTGATGAGGACTGGCCTGTGCTGCTCCAGTCTCCCCATCTTGAACCCCAAAGCCCAAAGACAGGGGTAAATAATTACACCCTTGAGTGCTGAGCACTGGAGATCAGCGGTGGGCACCTAACTTGGCATGGATTGAATTACATCTGGGAGGTTTTCAACAATTGCCATCCCTTCTGCACCAGTCCTATAGGGAATCTCAATCCTCAGGCAACCATGAGTGCTTTGGCCAGCTAAGGCACACAGCCATGGGCAGGTGTTCCTGCACCGACTCCAGCACCCAATGTGGGATCTGGCCCAGACCTTTTTGGAAGGTAATTGTTAGAAATTTAGTGATTCACTAAGGCAATTGCTGCAGTAGTGAAACCCTCCCCGTAGTTGGCTGCACCGATGATCCCGTGATCTCATCACATGGCAGTGGAGAACATCACTCCTCTGCCTGTAGTTCACAGAGCAGGCTGCTGCCAACGACCTCATTCCCACGCAGGCATCAGCAGACTGTGATCCTGTTACTGATTAACCAGCTCTTTGACGAGCTAAACAAAGCATCGCTCCCAGACATCCATCAAAGACCTGCAACCCAGTGGCTTTTTTATGAATCCCCTCTAAAATGTCAACAATCTCTTTAAAGCATCAGAATTGGACAGGGTGGTCCTGAATCTGGTTCCCCGGAGGAGAGAGACACCCCACCGCTCCGCAGATGGAGGCAGCACAGCGCGACAGTGAATCCCCTGCTCTGCATCCTTTTCACAGAGAGCAGAGAAGACGCTGTTTTAAACGACTTGAGGCTAGGACTGAGCATCCCTGAAAATGAGATGCAAAGTCTAAAACTCAGGGTGATCATATTTTCTGCGAGGACCTCCCATCCAAATTCCCCAATGCATTTCCCTGCTTTTGAGATGTAAGAATTCATTTTACCAGTGAGAAAGCAAAGGTAGTCCAAGGAGAAATCAACTGTAAAGGCAAAAGGTTTTACTGCACTGAAGTGAAGCATCTTCCTCTGCAAAATATCATGCAACCTGTATTACTGGGTGCTAAGTCAGTGGACGGCAGCATCTGGCTTGCTCACAACCAGGACTCGCTGGTGTCTGTTTGATCAGAGGAAGCCTAGATCATGCTGCAACACTAAGCTGACAACCACTATCAGATATCCTGCTCTTAGTGGGGAAAAAACAAATCCCGTCTCCAGTTAAAAATATCTCCATCAAAAGACAGGCACCCTGGGAATGAACACAGTGAGAATAACATCACTCCAGCTCGTGCAGATGCTGAGGCTGTTTCCACAGGGCCGGAGGAATCAAAGCCATAAAGCTAGATGGGTTCTGGTTCAACAACAAACCTTTCACTCCAGCACTCAGGTGAAGATGCAGGGTTGCTTCTCTAAGCTATCACTCTGAAAGAGTGCTAAAGTGAATTAAACTCTGGTTTAAATTAGCCAAACAGGTTCCTTAAGCTTGCTGGCTTTTCCTCTGCCCTTTCTCCTATAATTCACTCCTTCAAGACTTCCCCCTCCAGCCTCTTCTCTGCCTTTCACAGTGATTTCACAGCTTTATAAACTTCTCAAATATGCCACACTTCTGATATTCCAGATTCCTCCAGCTAGCCAAGGAGGCCAGGTCAAAAAAAAAGGAGAAAGAAAAATCCCTCTTAAATTTCTCAAATAACTGAAAAAAGCAATTAAACAACAGAAGGTCACCACATCCTTTGCTCCAGTGTGTTAGCAGGATAGTGCCTCCGAAAACCACCCAGAAGCGGGAAAACTCAACAGGCTGCTGAACACAACGTGCTGTGACACACACTCCCAGCTCAGTGTTTTGAGAGGGAAGGGTGCTGAGCTGTCTTGAATGAGGAGAACAACACCGGAGAGGTCGAGCTCAGGTATACCAAGAGTCCGCTTTGAAGCCCTGAGTCTTTTTAAGCAATAGAGGAGGAGAAAGACAGAGTTAAAGGAGAATTAACAAAAAAAAAAAAAAAAAAAAAAAAGCAGCAGGGAAGTGGACATTTGGAGAGGCCGTTGGCAAGAGACCAGGGAGAGAGCAAGAGGAAATGTGGGGAACTCAAGAGGGAAGCTTCTTGACTTTCGCTTGGAGCTCACCAAGTGGGAGGAGAAACAAACCAATTAATAGTATCAGGACAGGAGCCATGCTAGCCTATATAAGCTGGTGGGACTTTTCCTTTTCCTACTGTCTTAGCCCAGCTTTCCTTCTGTCTTGGCCAGCAAAGCAACTGCTACCCCTGCACTCACCAGAGAGGTAAGAGTACTTTTTTCATTCTTTTCAATGCACAGCAATAAACGTGCACCCTGTTACTGACTTACCTGGCTCTTTCTTCTCCCCCAGAACACAGAACAAACAGCTTTTGAACTGTCCTCCTGAGTGAGAACAGCGAAGGTTCAAGAGGAACACAGAGGATAGGGAATGTCACAAGAATTTCAGTTAATGAGAATTTTCTAGCAGAGTGAGGATTTATTAATACTGCTTAGCCCAGTTGGCTGAACCTTTGAGGAAAAAAAAGAAACAAAAAAACAGCTGGAGCTCTTTAACATCTCCTCTTACTGCCTTCCTATTCTGCAAAGTGAAAAATGCCCCCACAGTAATAATACACAGTTAATGTGATAGTATCTCTGGATTTCTCTGTCCCCGAGAGACAAACCTCTGAAAATTGAATTGCGAATGGGCTTAACGAATATTTGAATCTGAGGGATAAGTTTTCTTTTGAACTAATGCTTTGAAATGTATCTTCTATGGGAAAACCCGAACTTTTTTTTTTTTTCTCCAGTGAGGGTCAAGTGAATTATAATCTCTCTGGTTCGGGGAGTGTGCTGGTGCATGCACGTGCTCCTATACATAACACAACACTATACTTCTCCAGCTTTACTAAACCCCTGGTAACATTACACAGGCTATGCTGGAATCAGAGTTGCTGAGAATCTGGCCCTTTCCTCCTATTGTACTTGGATGCAGGAATTCCTCTAAAAACATGTGCACGCTCCACAGCAACAATTCAGAGAATGCAAGATGCATTGACTGTGATTGTGTGGTGGCAGTTCCTGGGACAAAAAAAAATACCACAGAGTCATTTAAATCCTCTTGATTTACAGAGTAAGCTTGAATTTTGGCAGGGAGAGAGGAAAAATCCAGAAAGAAGAGAAAGTACTAGATAACTTTGCTGCATTTTCAGAGGTGAAAGCCCAACACCTAGCAACACAGGCACTAGCCTGGAAATAACTGTCACCTGGGAGTATTAAAACAATTAGCCAAATAAAAACCTCTGTTCCTTTCCCAGCTGCAAGCACAGCACCACTCTTGCCATGCATAACATGTAAGCAATGTGTGACCAGGCTTGTCTCAGTTGCAGCAGGTGTAAAACAAGTATTTGCAGGCCAGATGTTGCAGGAGTGCAGCACCAGCATGGAGCCTGCTTCGCCGCAGCTTTAACAAGACATTACTGGGATGCCGTAGGTATGGCGTGACATGGAAGAAGTGTACACAAGTGGAAGGGAAATTGATTTAGGGAGACATGAAGTTGCATAACATCAGTACTTTGCTACAGGACATTTATTAACTCTGAAAAGGTGATAAAAAAACCAATAGATTAGCTTCTTGGCTGCTTCTTGGCTCTGTGATGATTTCATTTTCATGCAAGAGCAACCATTTTTTTTTCTTTTCTGTTCTTATGGGTTCCTTTTCATAACTGATACAACAGTATTTAGATACTTTTAGCTGCAAAACTTTCCTTCTTGCTTACTTGAGCATTCTTAGTGAGGATGGCAGAGCGATATTATTCAACAGCACAAAGACACCTAGGCAAAGGGAGATGACAAACACCTGGAATCACTGGGGAAAAGCAGCAGTGCCCCAAATCTAGCTCTCACTCTCCACCACCAGAAAACAGTTTTAAATAGTTTCTCTGCACATGCAGCAGAGCACAAATCAGTACTTACACCACAGAGATGAAAATCACATTCAGAGTCTCTCTGCCTGGGTCCTGCTGCTGCTCCTGTATCACACCAGTTACACACCAGCATCGGGAGCCTGCACTGGATGGCCCACCAAACTCCTCTCTGGAGCACCTCCCCAGAGCATACATCTGTGTCTGAGAGCAGGACTTACACAGTCCTTAGTTAAGAATCTAAGATCAAAAAATACTTTCCCAGACTTACAGAAATAAGGAATAAAAGAAATTTTTTACAAATCCTGTCCCCCTGCAGAAGCCAAGTAGTCTGTTCCAGAACAGTAGTCCTTTCAAAATTATTTCTATTTTCTTCATGAACTAAGGAAAAAAAAGCCCACTTTGACTGAAAACCACATGTTAACTTTAATTTAATAGCAGGTCTTCAAAAGACCTGCTGTAGACTGGCCTTCCTGCAATACCTGTCAGAAAGCACACACTTCAGTTTGAATTAAAATTCAGACATCACTGTCTTAAAATTCTCTGAGCACCTCCAATATTCTGGGATGGGACACCTTTTGTCTTCTGTCCTTTCTTAAATAGTTGCTATCACTGACTCCCTGAAACAAGGTAATGTGTTAGCAGATCGTTAATTTGAGCACACATGGCAACTACCATTTCTTACAATGTCAAAAATTATTAAAACCGCCAAAAAAAATTCTGTGCTGGTGTCAGTTTCCAAGTGGTTCACTACTCCTTTATACTTTCTTTGGACAACTAAGTAGAAGTTGTGCAAGTCCTCCATGCTCTGTGTTTCTGGACAGATGGGACAAGCACCACGGCTGCGGTGACAGCCAAATCACCACTTACCAGCAGCTGCCCTCACACAGAGCCTGGGATGTGATTTGGGGCAGCCGTGAAGCCAGTGGGACTGTATCTGGGTCCTTAGGTGTCACAAAGAGCCCACCTGAAACCAAGGGTTCTCTTAGCCTACGCATCACACACCATGCTGCTCTGCAGGCGATGGGGGTGTTTCGTAATGATTTCTTTCCCCTTTACCATATATAAGCAGATAGGAAAGATGAACTGAAGTTAATGTGATTCTTCTCTAGAAAGGCACATCACTTGAAGTACAGGGACATAATGAACATACATTTGACCACTGGCCAGAACATGCCCGTGATCTACCTACCCAAGCACTTTTAATATTCTGGAAGAACAAGTATGCAAGGCATTGACGCAGCCTTCATCGGGCATGAAGTGCAAGCCACGTTGGTGGAAGTGACTCACCTGGTCACCTGGTCTTTTTGCCGTGCGAAGTTCATCTAGCTGACATCATTTCTGGCCATGAAAACACAGAGCAAAGGAGTTCTGCTGTCTCAGGCTTGCACAGTGTGGTACTGCCCTAAGTATCTGCTTAAGTGCCTTTCTATGGCAAAGAAATTAATCAATTTTGATGAATTAGGGCCTCCACCCTGACCTGTTTTCTTCTGTACTGTGTGAGGGACCAGACAGTGACTCCAATATTTCTCATGCGCATTACATCCCACTCTGCAGACTCCTGCCGTGCAACCAGCTCCTCACTCAGCATGCGGAGAAACATATCAGGCATCCCAGCACAGGACACACAACATCACTCTGCAAATGCAAATGTAACAGCCCTTGAATTTATGGATTAGCAACTGAGAAAGTCTAAGTTACATAAAGAGAAACGTTATTTAAATTGAAAATGTAAACGTACTTACACCAAATGAAGGGCATTTATCTTAGCTGGAAATTTTGATTTAACTGAAAGTGCATCCAATTCACTTATTCCATTATTGCAGAATAAAATATGAGAAAAACGAAGGTATATGAATCAAGGTAATGAATTATAACTGAGCCGGAAAAAAGCCTTCCAGCACCAAGACACCATCCCTAGCAACACTCTCATCGTTTTCTTCCTCCTCTAGTTAAGCTCCTTGCCTTTGTGTCCTACACAAAGTCAAATTCAACACTCTTCTATGTAGTGTTCTAGTCTTCGTCGTCTTTCATGTGGAACCTATCCTTGCATTAGCAGGGCCCTTACAAAAAATATCTATTTATTCTTTGTGCAAATATTTACTACTTCCTGAAAGGTCACCATCAGCCTTCCAATAACATACAGTAAGAAAGTGGCCAGTATGTACATCAACCAGCTGCTCCCCCCCTAAGCCTCAGAGCTGCTTAACCACATGTCTGGGTCTGCAAGTGTAATGCCCAGGGGTGAGGCTGCTTCAGCTTAAGTACCCAGCAACTGTAGTTCTGAAGTATGCATTCTCTTCCCCAGCCACCGAGAAGGCTTCTACTGAAGTTGCAAGTTTCACAGACTAAGTCAAATAATTTCATGCTTGTTTCATCTTATTTAGTCTATTAACTCACAAGGTAAATTCTTTATTTGTGACTGCATGAAAGTCTGGAAGGACAGTACAGGGTCCCAAGAGCACATGAAGAGAGAATGTGCTCCTGGAGACATGAGAATCAGGCATTCAGAGTAAGGATTTTCCTCTTTTTTGCTCCAAAATGACACATGGTAAGAAATAATACATGGTAGAGAGAATAAACAGGGATCAGTAAGAGGCTTTGTAATGAATTTTTTTTTTCCCTTGAATTTTACCAAAGGGTCAGAACATCAACATGGAAAACAATGTTGATGTCAAGATAGAAACCAAGGGGGAAAGAAAGACAATCAAGCAGAATCCAGTGAGCAAAGCTGGGAAGAAAGTCTGCAGAGCTGTCGGGTACATCACTGGAGACATGAAGGAATTTGGAGCCTGGCTAAAAGGTAAAGCTATTTCTTCACAACTAATCAGGGGATTCCAGAGAAGAATTACATCAAAGGAGTAATAAATCAGCTTTGCGCAGAGATTCAGATACTGCTTAAATCTTGAGGATGACTGAGATGACATTTACCTCCCAACATGCCATGTACAAAGTGAATATAGTCCCACAGAACCTAGCCCAGGATGGTTATTCTGAGCTCTGCCGTTCTTTATAACCCCCCCTGTCCTTTCAGCTGAGCAGTTTCTGTCAAGCCTAATGCCACTGTGAAGTTAAATTACATATAGGTAGGTGTATTTGGTCCCCATAATAAATCAGTAACGGGATACACATGATTTGCCATCTGAGGCACAGACATCATAAATTAGCTGGTTCATATGAATCTGGTCCAGGTTACTTTATAACACAGGACTCTGGCAACCACACTGTTCATCTCAGCTTTCCAGCTGTAAGACTTCAGTATAGACCATAATAAATCCCAGTCATGTTTTACAGTCTTGTTGATTCATGGCTTCAGTCGTGCTGTCAAGTTCCACTGCCAAAACTCTTCCTGAGTTTCAAAAAAAACATGCCAAATCAGTATCATCTGCATACTTGGGGTTTTTTTAATTATTATTTAATTCAATCTTTTCCAGATAAACCTCTCATGATCCAGTTTATTGACTGGATGCTGCGTGGGATATCCCAGGTGATGTTTGTCAACAATCCCCTCAGTGGGCTTGTCATAGTTGCTGGCTTCCTGGTGCAGAACCCGTGGTGGACACTCACAGGCTGTTTAGGAACAGTTGTCTCAACTTTAACAGCACTTCTTCTGGGTCAGGACAGGTGAGTCCATCCTTTTCCCCTTCAAAACCAGACTGTCACTTCAGTGCTGACTTCTGTGTTAAACGAGTGACATATAGACGAAAAGCACGTAGCCTTCACCAGCTATGTATCTGTTCTGGTAGGAACAGACAGATCTGTCCACCAGCTGCATCTGGTGCAAAGGGACACTGAACGTAACTACAGTAGGGGTAGCTGCTGAGAGGACGTGGGACTCATGCATGCGAAATCGAAGGTTGATGCATGAGCCCTGGCAGGTCACATAGAGTCACGAGTGCATGGGGAGGGAGGGGGTGATGCAAGCAAAGCATCTGAAGTGGAGAAGATTTCAAGACGGTTCGTTCCTTCACACAGATCAGCCATAGCAGCGGGCCTGCATGGCTATAATGGGGTCTTGGTGGGACTGCTCATGGCCGTCTTCTCTGCTAAGGGAGACTATCACTGGTGGCTTCTACTGCCGGTAGCACTGGTGTCCATGATGTGGTAAGTCGGATGGCTCTTCTGCTTCTTATTCCATCCCCAGTGTCCTCATGCTGAGACTGAGCTGTTGTATACTTTTATGCACTATACAGACTACAATGGGAAAGAAACACAACTAACATATATGTGCTACTAAATCTATATCATTCTTCATACTTTTAAACTCAGATGTAATCCCAAAACAAATAAAATATCCACATAATCACAAATAAACCCAACTGGGAAAAGCAAAATTGATAGATGATCATATGTAATTCAATGCCCTAAATGTTAGCCATATTGCTGTGATGCATCAATGCATTTTTGTCTCCAGAGGAACATTATTTTCACCATTCCCTACCACCATCAACTACAAGTGTTTCATCTATTTAAGCCATCGTATAAAAATGCCAAGAAAATTTACCTCTCCAGGCACAGAAGATGATCGGTTGTCCCAAGACATGATGGTTGATGCTAATGAAAACAAACAACTAATAATACTTTACTTATATATATGACACCATAATCTGCTAGGTATTTGGATAGAAAAAATTTTGAAAGCTGGTCTTTGGCCCCCAAATGTCTATTTGGAGATTGCTAAACCACACACATCATCTGTCTGCCTGGAGTTCATGTGGTGTTCTACTCATTTTAATAAGCATACCTTTGACATCAGCCTTTACTTCTAATGACTCTGATCTGTGAGCTTGGACAAGGGCACACAGCCTTTTTCACAGTTCACTCAAACCTGGCACGAGTGTCCCAAATACAATCCTCTTCAAGTACTACAAGAAAAAAGTAAACACTGAGAGCGAGCTGTGAAATAATTCCATTAAACCACTAGATCCTCCACATGAGTGAGGAATCTTGGCTCCTTCATGGTCACCAAATTGACCACATACACTGCATAACATGGCAGGAATGTGTAGATTGCTCACTGGGAAGGGCGGGAAATTCACTGAATGACCCTAGCACATCTCTGATTTTAAGAGAAAGACTGAGGAAATAAAACAAATCTTTTAAAAAAAATAGAGTGAATTTCCTGCAGGTTTTTGTGGGTTTATTTGGTGGGGTTGTTTTGTTGTTTGTTGGGTTTTTTTGCTAGGCTGACAAGCTCCTAGTGAGACCATTTTGTTCTTCTTTCAGCCCTGTTTTCACCAGCGCTTTAGGCTCAGTCTTCTGTAAATGGGATCTGCCTGTTTTCACCTTGCCTTTCAACTTGGCCTTGACCCTTTATCTGGCTGCATCAGGACCCCATAACCTCTTCTTCCCTACAACTGTCATTCAGCCTGCAATAGCAACACCAAACATTACCTGGACGGATGCTGAAATGCCACTGGTAGGATGTCCTGAAGATAACAACCTTCTCAATTTACAAAGAAAACCACTGTAGAACGAGATTATCTTCCTTTACATTACTGCATTATGGCCTGGCAATATAAAATTGCATTTATAAGATAGCTATTATCCAAAATGTAAAGGTTTAGTCTAGGAAATGACATTTTTTGTTAGCTTGAAAATAAGCATCTTTTTGGTATCTGGTACCTTTCACTTACAGTTGGATCTAAACTATAATCTTCAAAGAGCCTCTAGAATCAAATTACCCTTTACTGTGCGTCTACTGATCAGTGTCCCATAGATACGGTCGTGCTGAGACTATCAGTTAACTCGCAGGTTAATTTTAGTTTTTTATGTAGAGCGGTGTGGTTTTAAAATTGCCTCTTTCTGATTAGAAATGAGAAAGCAGATATTACTATGGCAGAATGGTTATAAACTTGGGTGCAGGCATATGCTCACTTATTTTTAGTTAATATTTGAGTTGGACCTTTTAAAAAAAGAAAAAAATAAATTTATTGTCCTGCATAGCACGGTAAACAACGTAGATACTAGAGTAATGGCTTTCCCCTAAGGCTCAGTGGACTATTTTGAAGGGTTCCCTGGGAGCAAAGGAAGTTAATTGACACCAAATAGCAATCCAGATGAGTGATATTTCTCACAGAAAGTTTACCATGCCACATAATTTTATGGGAATCATAAATAGGCTGCTCTACATGGAGGAACACAACACTTTGATGAAAAATGTCTTGAAACCATCTCTAAGCTTTGACCAAGTTGAGCTCTGTCCCACCAACCCAGCAAGTCTTACACATTCTTATTCCTAGTGAATCCCAAGGGAGTTTCAGGTAGGTAAGTAGAATGGCAATACAGCCTTACCTGAGTAAAGTCTTCTAATTCTGGCCAAGACATTACTGTCCATTTCATCCTCAGATCTGCCCACTCAGAGGCGAATGTCTTTTCAAAGGCATCATCTACCCAAGCACTTCCATTTCCTAGATTCACTGTCATGCTCCACAACAGCATGCAAAAATGGCCAAGTCAGCAGCACATGTAAAGACGATGAGCAAACCCTTCCTAGTCCTTTCACAAAAGACATTTACCTTTGATATTACAGCAAAAACCTGGCAGAGGAGCTCATGGCTAGGGAACAAGGGATGACTCATCATCATCAAAGGGGAAACCCTGTGGAAATGACCTGCTGTCTCCTGAGAAGTGTCCAAACTTTCCACTTACAGTCCAGAAAGAGAGACTGCATCCAACAGATGCTAAACATGAACAAGGCCAAGAAAAATAGCAGGGTTTCTTTTAAAACTAATGATAAATCTGGAAACAAACTGTCTTTTTTTTTTTTTCTTTTTTCATGCAGCTTCTGCAATCCATTCCAGTCGGGGTGGGTCAGGTTTATGGCTGCGATAACCCCTGGACTGGGGGAATTTTCCTGATTGCTTTATTTATCTCTTCACCGCTCATTTGTCTGCATGCAACAATTGGATCGGCAGTGGGGATGCTGGCAGGTAAAGATTTGATTTGTGTCAAATTGTGTCAGACTGGTATAAAAGCATGGAGAATAAAAGAGGAACTGCAATAACTGGAGTATTTACAGTCACCAATGTTTCCTCCATTGGAGAATGACTGCTTGAAAAAAAAATATACACACATTTCTCTTTTAAGAATTCTTTTGATTGACTTCCCATTCTCTTACTTAGTTTTATGATGGTGGAAATCTTCAGAAGAAAGAAGCATATTTTTGTCTGAAATAAATTTTTATCATGAAATACTTCATTTCTGGATATATGCTGGTGGATTTAGGAGCAGCTTAATAAAAGTCCTAGCCATCAGTCAGAATGCAGGCCTCAGGGATGCATTTCAGGTTCACATGTATGGTTGTTCACTCATATATCTTCCATATATCTTCTGCTGAAATCACATGGCCAAATTCAGCTCAGTAGCACAAGGCAAATTCTGCTGTGACTGCACTAGATTAAAGTGGCTTTAGTCTTAGACCATAACATGACTACAAATAAGAGCTCTGCATACATATGAAGGCTAGAGCCCCTAAAAAGGTGCACTCATGCCATTTCTCAGCTGCTTTTATCTCTTTGGTGAAAGATAACACATCTTTGACTTATTTTCCAGGACTGAGCTTAGCAACACCTTTTAGCAAAATCTGCTCCGGCTTGTGGGGCTACAACAGCTCCCTCTCGTGCGTTGCGATTGGAGGCATGTTCTACGCTTTCACCTGGCAGACACATTTGCTGGCAGTTGCCTGTGGTAGGTACCCTCTGGATTTTCACTACTGCCACGTTTCCTTCTGAAGTGAGAAGAGATACATTTATACTAGAGGTGGGCTGAAGTCAGATGGCCAGCACTACACAGGCAAATGGACTTAGGTGAGACCGACGAGTGGTGGAGACAGATGTTGGGGCCATTGTTCTAACATACCCTGACAAAATAAAAGCAGTGGTTTTGCTTTCGGCCAAGAGTTGTGTTCAAAAACCAAAGATGTGATTAGTGGATCATTAACTGTGGTCTTTGAAATTAGATGCTTAGTTTTGAGGTATTAATTGTGTTTGTTCAACACTTCTGTATGAGTCATATTGTTTCTTCCAATCCTAGATACCAGCTCAAATTCCTTCTTTCAAGAAGGACATGCCTAAACTTTAAGAAAACTGGAGCTCAAGATCAGTCCAGCTCTATAGTTAGACAGTACAGTTTCCCCAGTCTATTGAAACAGATACCAAAGGCATGAGCTAGGCAACACAGAATGATTGAAGAATTATTTATAAGGCAATTCCATATGAAATTTCAATATCACTGTGACCTGGGAGTGAAACTATTGCTCATTCAGTGCTCATATAAAAAAGATTTAGTTTTGTATCATCTCATTGACCCACCTTCTAGCCCTAAAGGCAGGAGAGATGGGGGTGGAAGGGTTATTCTCCTATTTAACCCCATCCATCACGCTACACGCTTTCCATGTCAGTGCATTTTTCAAAAGCCTCTGCTTCCATAGACACATTTTTCATCACTCCAGTTCTTTTTTTACTTTGCCCTTTCCACGATCTCCAGTTCAGAGGGGACACAGCAGAACAGAAAGAGCTTTAAAAGGGGGTTGTCCAGGCACAGCTGTAAACAATGGCTGAGCTGCCCAAGGCAGTGTGAGAGATGTTTGTCCTTGCTGTTCTCCTCCCTGAGCAACTGAACTCACCAGGAACTACCTTTCTTTTGCATAGCGCTCTTCAGTGCCTACCTGGGAGCAACAGTGACTAACATGTTGTCTGTGGTAAGTGGTGTATCAGCTAAGGTCTCTTTTCCAAAGACTGATTTGAACATCTTCTATTTTCCTGGCTTGTCAGGCAAAACACCAAGACAACAATTCAGCCATTAGCAGAACCGACCCAGGAGAGGAGACACAGTCTGCCCAGGGGGTTGGTGTCATTGCCACTGAAACAGGCCACTTACAATCATCATTTACCACTCTTCATCCTCAGAGTTTTCTTGAATTTCCACTGTTTACCCCTCAACACCTCTGAGATAATTTTACGTCTATACTTTGTGCCTGAAGTGATTGAGAAAAGGGCCCTCCCCATGTGTAAAGAAACATCAGATTTGGTTTAATTGCTTTGCCCATGTGCCAAAAGGTAGTCAGTACAACAGTCTAGGGAAAAGCTGCACGTTTCTGGTATCCACTCCTCTCCACCTAAGACCACTGCGAATGCACACAGAGCAGGCAGCAGAAGAGCTAGGAGATGCTGCAGGTTAATGCACAATGTCAAGATCTCATAAAGAAATCCTGCCTCCCCAGGGAGTGACTCCATGCAAAACCAAGTCAAAACTTCCTTGAGAAATCTTGTTCCAAGCTGCTTGACTCTGACTTTTGTTTAAGGGCTGGGAGATAAAATGAAAGAAAGACGTGTAGTTAACATGGAGTTTGTTTTTGTTTTTTTTACAGTTTGGGGTGCCATCAGGAACCTGGTCTTTTTGCTTGTCTGCGCTGACCTTCCTATTAATAACCACTAACAACTCTGCCATCTACAAGCTGCCACTCTCCAAAGTCACCTATCCAGAAGCCAACCGAGCTTATTATCTGAAGATGAAGAAACACCAGAGGTCTTGCTGTGAGGTATAAAGACCCAAGACAACAGATACTGTGCAGATTTTAAGGCAAGAGTGCAAGGTGTTTCCCCCCAGAAAAATGTGATTTGTGTGCTACAAAGTCAAAAGACTAAAAAAATTCACCACCTTCTGAGTGGAGGCACTTTTTCCACCACATTCGTTTGTTCTGTCCTGACTAGCTAGGACTGTGCTGTGCTGGAAGGACCTTTCCCAAGACCAATCTGTAACGATTTAAAAGCACATATGCCTGAAAAGACAGTTCAATTATAAGCAGTGGGGAAATGACTTAGAAGTTGATAAGAGAAATCTGTTTTGTGAAATCCGAGTCACAGCAATTGGATGTAAAACAATAAAGAGCAGAGCTTCTCTCCGCATCTGATGGGACTCCTAATTAATGGCTAAAACCAGCTTATGACAGCAATAGGATACATCATAGCAAGCTTCATAGGAGCAAAGAGTTGGAATAAAGAACACACTTTGCTAAGTAGAAAATAGGTGGTGAAGAATTCTACCTGGAAGATCTCTCAAGTCTGGTGGAGACAGATGCCCATTAGCAACCATCACACACAAGATGGACACAAGCAGCATTGCTAACATTTGCAAGACATGGTAAAAATCACAGTAATGGGAGGGAGGGGGTGTCTATCAGCCCCAGTTTTTGGATGTTTTAGTTTGCATTAGGCTCTAACATTTCATGACAAAAATGTTTCAGGCCTAGCCAGTTACAGAGAAAAGTCTGTAAACCCAAAGCCAAGAAAGCAAATTCCAGTGAAAGTAATCTTTTGCTACAAAAAAAGAAAGAAGTTACATGCTTTTTTGTTAATCTCATGGTATTTCTGAATACTTGAACGTTGTCATGGGTTAGCAAAGGAGGGGACAGAAGCAAAGGCATTGGCTGTCCCTTTCCTATGCGATAAAATGACTCAGTTCAGCTGG